CAGTTTATATCCGGTTTTTATATATTGTGTTCTTTATATTTCCCGTATTTCATAACATTTACCTAATTATATTAGAGAAAAATGCTACGATCCCGTTACGGTACCTTATTGTCGGGGTTTGTAACCGTTAGATCATCATGTAACCGTCGATGATAGTTAATCTAACGATTACAAATCTCGACGGAATGGTTCCGTAACGGGACCGTAGCATCTCTATATTAGAATTTAAGGATTAATTACGAATCACCAAAATTCATATCAAATTCATATAAAATATTGCGAATCACCAGAAGTTTTACTCTAAGTCTACTAATGAAATATATCCCCAAAATTTTGGCCTAACTTCTGACATTTTTATAGTAAGTAGTTGCGACATCACTTCTAACTTTGTTTGTTCATTGATTAAAATCCCAAAATCTGGTGTGGTATATTTTTTTCATCCCTTCTACTTGTGACAACAACATTTTTTTTAATGGCTATAATATCACAAATTCGTTTTTTATTTTATTTATTTATTTATTTATTTTTTTTTGGTCTTTTTGTATGTGGTTAAAATCGCAAACTTTGAATTATGTTATGAATAAAAACAATTCGTGAACCTTCGTATGGTAAATATATAGTGAGGGATAGCAATATAATTAAGATTTTAAATATATAAATGCATATAAATTGAAACTGTTCTTACTTCTATATAAATTTATAATATATTTCTTATAATCCTAAAGTTGATGCTCGATTATCCATTGAACTCTCCTTTGTTCCCATCGTTACCACGGCTGATGACGCAATGCGGATTGGATGATTGTGAGATCATCAATCAATAAAAAGGTAAAAAAAAAAAGAAAAAAGAAAATGTGTTTAACAGTTCGATCACTAGAAAGGAGAGAAGGAATAATAAAAGAATGAGTGTGAATGATATCTATCAGAATCTGATTAACAAAGATCAAGTATTGACTAAGGGAAAGTTAGCGAAGAGTACCACAAACTGGAAAAGGAGGTGAAATCATTTTCAAATGAGAATTAACAGTACTTTATTTTCAGTGTTAAAATATATCAACATTTGTAGCTAGAGCTTTTAAACAGAAGGAGTTAAGTTCAATTCGATCCATCAATCCTAATAAATTATAAGGGCTTTCGTATAATTTGAACTTTTAATGTAATTTGACTTAATAAGGTTCGAGCTCGACTCAACACGAAAAAAGGATCGAGATCGAGCTGACTCGTCTACAGCTAGATGTACTTGTTGCTTAGAAGGTGGGAAAAAGAAGTTGCAAGCAATTAGCATGTGGTTAATTGCCCGACATCAAAGAAAGAATCTGCACGTAGCATTAGACGACTCAATTACATAACTATTTTTAGTGTAGTATAAATATTAATTAATTAAATTATTATTATCTTCATAACGATGAATTTAATGGCAATAGCATTTGATTGGAGTGTTAGATATTTTCTTCTAATTGAAGTTTGAATTGCTAATATTAAAAGTTCACATAGCAGATGTAAACTAACATTAAATTTGACAGATTTCGAAATCATTTAAGAAACTTATTGAACACACGTGCTAATCACAAATCTCAATGCAAGAAAAACTGCATTTGGCGACACTTATTAATGACGCTTATTGCGAGTTGTGTTGCTAAATTTGATGTCAGAAAAAAATAAGCGTCAGTAAACAAAAAAATAAGCGTCGCCAAATGCAGTTTTTCTTGTAGTATATATGGTTTAATGATTTATCAACATAAATAACTTGACCCTACAATTTTATTAAATTTTCACATAAAAGAAAGTTAAATATTGCAAAAACTGCAAATATATACAATAGAGATAAACAAACTATCGTACATGCTTTCAATGAATCTGATAAAGTTATCAGCTATAGGTGCTATGAATTTGGTTTTTATTTTTGAAAAAATTAAAAGAAACCAACCGCATTA